TTTGTCTTCAGCGATCGTGTTGGGAAGGTGAGCAACATGGAATGCCAGTTTAATAGAACAAAGTATTCTTGCATTGAGGGAGTACTTGAGTGGAGGCCCAGTGTCCATCTGTTACCTTAATACTAAGCTTATAAATATGTGCACATAGATCTATTTCCCCATCCTCATATATAAATATATGTACATGTATACATGCCTTTATTTAGGCCTCTATAAATGCCCTTTGCCTCCTAGCTCTTTCCTCTATTTCCTCTGAAAGTGAAGGGTTTTAAAGTCCATACTTTAAATATATGCATATATATTTCACATTTCTAGTAATTAAGCAATTTAGAAGACAGTGTATTTTCCAGAGTTGCATTTTATATTCCCCATTTTCCCCCCAAAGTCAATGAAAAGCTCTCCATCAGATAAGCTCAGCCTTGTTACTTGTTTTCTGGAATGCACTAAGATCCGTTCTTGAGGCTGCACCATCCTGGAGCACCATCCTGGAGCACACCTCTGGAAGAGGCCGTGCTTCTCAGGAGTTTTAGGGTTAAGGTTGGAGACAAAAACCAAACCAAACCAAACTCACTGCCTTCCGTTGATGCCAACTCCTGGAGACCCTGCAGAGTAGGGCAGATTAGAACTGCCCCTTGAGATTCTGAAAACGTAACTGTTTACGGGAGTAGAGAGCTTTCCTTTTCTCCCAAGGAGCAGCTTTCCCTTTGTAAATGCGACTCCTCTTGTCCTGATTGAAGGGTTCTCAGTGTTTTCTGAATCACTTTTATGCTGTTGTAACCGTAACTTCTACACCTTTTCTAAGAAAGATGTTTCCAGGATTGATTCCATCGCTTTTTCAACATGTGCTTCTAGAAAAGGGTTTTATTGTTATTATTTGCTATTTCTCTTGTAATTGAATCTCTAAAGTCTTCTACTGCCCTGCTGAAATGCTTTAAACAGATTTGTTGTTCTTATTCACTATGGTTTACTGCCTCAAAAGGTTTCATTGATTAATTTTTTTCTTTTAACCCATAGAACTCTATCTTTCTTCTTTTTAGCCCACACAATGTCTTGATTTCTTCAGAAAGGTGTAGATACGTCAGCATTCCATCTCTTGTGCTTTGCTAAGTCTCACACCTGTGACGTCATAGCAGGGTGTTTACTCGCCTTTCTAGTCAAGCCTGGGACCCTGGCTCTGAACTACCAGCTGGTGAACCTCACTTACCTTCAGTCTCCTCCTTTGAAGAGAATGGTGTCTTTCCTCACACCATCCCTAGGCAGAATGTTTAAGTACTGAAGCTTGACCGTGTCTGCTTTCTGCTAGCCTGCTTTTGCTGCTGATAAGTACTGAACCACTCATTACAATTGAAGGATGACTAGTTCCTAATCTTGGAGTCATGGGTCATTCAACAGCTAGCCTCCTTTATGCTTATGTTCCAAAGGTTACAACAAATACTGGAAAGACCAGCCCTTTCTAGAAAGCAGGGGCACACTTTCCAAGCTCTGTAACTAATATTCTTCCAGCCATGAAATCTGAGCATCCTAATGGGACTCTGTTCTGTAACTAAAGGATTTATAAAAAGGGACACTGTTGTTTTGGTGTGTGGCAGATAGCACTCTAGGCTTCACTTAACAAAGCCTGATTGGAGAATGGCAAATAGTAGTTATCAGATCCTCTGAAACAGAGCACTTTTCTTCTCACTCCCAACACTGAGCGCATCTCTGGTCTTCCATAATGATCCTCGGTTATAGCATGTTTCCTAGAGATGGTACCACTCATTTAGGGGGTGTTGTTAGCCTGACTCATGGCGGCCCCACACACAGGCAGAAGGAAGCACTGCCAGGTCCCGTGCCATCATTATAATCCTTATTGCCTTTGAGACCATTGTTGCAGCCCCCGGCCCACACTCATTAGTGCTCTCTCAATTTCATGTACACAATTCATAAGCCAATTTGTTCAGAGGCTCAAAACCTTAAACATCAGTATTTGTTTCTATTAGTCCTGTCAGAAAATATCCACATCACTGATTCCCAAAACCTTTTTCTTCTCATGGTTCACTTTTATAGAACCTTTCCCCAGTAACTGATCACGGTGACCCAGCTCATTTGGACATGCAATAATAGAGACAGCAGCAGTTCTTCAGTAAGACCATGGCATGGTGAAAATGTGGACTGAGATGCTTTCTAATGGGGCAAATGTCTATAAGGACACTTGTGCTTGCTGGAACCCTGAGGCTCAAGTTGACTGATCCCCATGGTTCCTCATGGGTGTGCACTGAGTGACTAGGCTTGGGAGCTTGAAGCTGGGGTTAGAAGAGAACACCAATGGAACTGTGGCCTGGCCTTAGATCAATCATGTGATACCCCACTTCTCTCCTGTGGTCCGCACAACTCTGTTAGATGACACAGCTGTATCTTCGTAGATAAAGTGAAGGAAACTTGCAAAAGTAGCCTCACTGCAGTTACCTAACGTGTTATTTTACTTGATGTGGTTAAAGTTTCTACCTAGATTGTCTGATTTCAGAGTTAAATTCTGGACCGTGATTATTCAGGTAGACCTTGCTTTATTGCACTTCTCAGATACATACTGTGTTTTTAGCAAATCGCAGGTGTGTGGCAAGCCTGCGTTGAACAAGTCAGTGGATGCCATTTTCCCAGCAGTGTGCTCACTTCAGCTCTCTGTGTCACATTTTGGTCATTCTCACGCTACCTCAGATCTTTTCATTTGCGTCTTCTTTCTCAGCTATTCACAATTTATATATTTAATTGTTTTAGATATTTTTTAAGTCAACTGCAACCTTTTGGAATAAGTTAAGGGTGTTTTTGTTCCCACCCATAGCGTCCCTGTTTTAACAGAATGAAACACCGCCAGGTCCTGCGCCGTCCTCACAATTGTTCTTACGTTTAAGGCCGTTGTTATAGCCTCTGTGTCAGTGCATCTTGTCGGGGCCTAGGGCATGCATATGTGCACACATCATTATTCTCAGACTTTAGCACTATTAGTGCAGGGTTTTGTCTTACCTCCGTATCTCTAGTGCAAAGAACAATTGGTGGAGGATAAATAAAATATATGTTGAATATATGCCTTGGAATTTGTTAGGCATTTGGTATATGGGTATAATTTCCTTCCTGATTTTCTCATTCTCTAGACCAAAAGGATCTTCAGTTTGTCAGTTTTTCTTCAAGAGTGATGCCTATAACTTGGATGCAGTTAGTCATGTATAATTTGAACTATAAAGAGCATCGATGCATTACTTACTATATGTGGATTTCTCTATTGCTGTAGTGAGAGTCATGTAGTTTAAGGCCATCTATCAAATATGTAGCCAGTAGCCCAGGGCTCCCTACCCCTTCACATGTGAGCTTTTTCTTTCCCTAGATTTCACCTGTTGCTCTAGTTAACATCTTTTTCCAAATTCATTAGAATATAATCCAGACTTCATACCATTCAGTAGTTCAGCCATCTCAAGAAGTGCTGTAAAATTGCTACCCAGATAGTTAATGCATTCTTTAACAATCATCCCAACCCTCAACACTGATGCAAACTGCACTCTTCTTCATGCCCTACGTGTTCATAATCTTGTTCATAATCTTCTCTACTTGAAAATTACAAACTGGCTGTCTGCTACATCACTTTTATCTGTCCATCTAGTAACATCAAAAGGGAAAATGAATTTCATGCCTGAAAATTTGCTCTCTGGGAATTTTGTGTCTTGTGGTACTTAACCATTTTCAAAGGCCAAACCCTTCCTTCTCATCATTTGTCTGGAATCCCACACAATGCCCTGTGCACTTTGCATGATAGCTCCTCCTGACACAAATACAAGGATTGTGGTTGTTAGCCTCAGTTCTGACAATGTCAGGTACTTACTGGGACCCTCCATTGTTGGTTCAGCCCGGTGACACTTGAAATGTTTTGAGGAGCTCTGCTTTCTGGCGAGTGAGCTTATTGTATCATTTTATGTGACTGTGGTTCCTAAGCCACCCCACACTGCCCCAGTCCTAGTGTCTCTCTGTTTCCTTTCAGCTGGTTGGTGGAGAGTTTGACCTGGAAATGAATTTCATCATCCAGGATGCGGACAGCATCACATGCATGACAGAGCTGTTGGAACACTGTGATGTAACCTGCCAAGCCGAGATATGGAGCATGTTTACTGCCATTCTCCGAAAAAGTGTGCGGAACTTACAGACCAGCACGGAAGTGGGGCTCATTGAACAAGTGTTGCTGAAAATGAGTGCTGTGGATGATATGATCGCAGGTATGCCGTGTATGCAATGACGTATCCTTTCAGTGGGTGTCAGAGTCAGCATTCTTTCCTATATGACCAATGGGTAATCCAGATGTGTTGAAACTGTCTTGGCTTAAAAGAGAATCATAGCAGTGAATGGTAATCTTCACATTTCATATCAAGAAGGAAGTTGGAATAAAAGAAGATGTCTTCTGGATTAGGCAATTTTACTGTCTGGTGTTTGCCAAGTCTTAAGAAGTCCCAGCACTGGAAGGCAGGCTCAACTTTGCTCAGAGTCATGGGCAGTGGTATTCCACTGACTGACTACGTAGTTAGGGATCCCATTGCACACTGCTTCTGTAGCCTGTAGGCTGAGAAGCACAGGGTAGTCGTCTGCTCCCTGCTTTCCTGCCGGCAGACGGGAGGATGAGCTTGGGCCTTCCTTCTGAAGTGTCCATGTCACTTTAGTGCACTGAGGGCATATTTTTGTGGCACAGCGAGATATGCTGAAGTTGAACACGTGCCCTGCATGAAGTCTTCGGAGAAGAAGACAGATGTTTGTTCTTGTTGTTCATCTCAAGGGTTCGCGTTCACTTGTGCTTCTTTCCATGCACTCTCCACCCTCTGCCTCTGTGCCAGACCTTCTCTGTGCTGAGGTGATGCTCCTCAGGAGGGACATTCTGGCAGTGTGGCCTCAGGGAAGCTGCTGCTCCCAGAAAATGTGTCCACCGTTTGGAATGCTAGTGCCCTGAAGCTGAACCTCCTCAGCGTTGAGCTGCTTGAGCAGCATCTGCTGCTTCCCTTCCAAGAGTCTTGATGATTCTGGAAGTGCTAAAAGGATATTTCACCAGCTTTTAGGGCTAGGTCAGATATGAGAAAATCCCTGCCAGCTTTGACTCGGCATTTGTCAAATCTTAAAGCATTTGATAAGAACAGATAGACTGAAGATGGTTAAAGAAGCATGTTTGCTTTAACTGAAATAATTTTTAGAATTTTTTTCTTATGGAGTTTATTAAAACTATTACTATTTACTTTCAAGAAGGCATGTATCTTTATGTAGAACGAGTTAGCATTCTATGTATTTTTTTTTTGCATTCTATGTATTGTACACTAATGGTTAACATTATAAAAAATGAGATTCAAACTTAAATGCCTTTAAAAATCTTTTAAATGTTATCTGTAAATTGCAGCTGTTTAAAAGTACTTTATATGTTTTAAATTTATAGGAGGAGGGTTTCAAAAAGTTTTTGGAAAATTCCGTTACCTTTCAATTCCATTTTTTCATAACCTTTTTGAAGACCCTTATATGTGTACATGTTGTATAATAGAACATCATGTACCTTTTACATCTTCATGTCTAAGTTCAAGTCTTTAATTTTTTTAAAGGATAGTTAAAGGGAGGATAGATTAAGTGGTAACCCCTTTAGAGTAGAGTTTAGAGAATGAGTTAGAGAATGTATTACCGGTACGTACTCTGTGAACATAGAGTGGTGGCACCATAGACATTCATATGGTGCCCTTCCTGATATGCAAACCCCGTAACTTTCCTATCCTTTCTCCTCAACAACAATAATATTGTCACTATTAAACTTCCACCTTCTTTAGTTTGAAATGCTTTTCTGCAAAAGACCCTGATGGGTGAAAGGACAAGAGAAAAGAGAATGAACATCAGAGACAATACTTCTTACTTGTAATTTTCAAAATGAAAATTTATTAGATAACATACTAATGAAGAATCAACCACCCAATTAAACCCAAACCTTGGGTTTAGTTGGCCTTGGAGTCTCTTCTGACTGGTACAGGAGTCGTAGGGCAGTCAGGTTTCCAGAGCTGTCCGTCTTTATGGAAGCAGACTGCTTCATCTTTCTCCCTCAGAGTGATGAATGGGTCGAATCAACCTTGAGATAAGCCCCCCCACAGGCCGTTGTTCACCTATAAGTTAAGGGTGTTTTTGTTCCCACCCATAGCGTCCCTGTTTTAACAGAATGAAACACCGCCAGGTCCTGCGCCGTCCTCACAATTGTTCTTACGTTTAAGGCCGTTGTTATAGCCTCTGTGTCAGTGCATCTTGTCGGGGCCTAGGGCATGCATATGTGCACACATCATTATTCTCAGACTTTAGCACTATTAGTGCAGGGTTTTGTCTTACCTCCCTATCTCTAGTGCAAAGAACAATTGGTGGAGGATAAATAAAATATATGTTGAATATATGCCTTGGAATTTGTTAGGCATTTGGTATATGGGTATAATTTCCTTCCTGATTTTCTCATTCTCTAGACCAAAAGGATCTTCAGTTTGTCAGTTTTTCTTCAAGAGTGATGCCTATAACTTGGATGCAGTTAGTCATGTATAATTTGAACTATAAAGAGCATCGATGCATTACTTACTATATGTGGATTTCTCTATTGCTGTAGTGAGAGTCATGTAGTTTAAGGCCATCTATCAAATATGTAGCCAGTAGCCCAGGGCTCCCTACCCCTTCACATGTGAGCTTTTTCTTTCCCTAGATTTCACCTGTTGCTCTAGTTAACATCTTTTTCCAAATTCATTAGAATATAATCCAGACTTCATACCATTCAGTAGTTCAGCCATCTCAAGAAGTGCTGTAAAATTGCTACCCAGATAGTTAATGCATTCTTTAACA